TCACTTTAAAATGATAGGAACATCTCACGCAAATAATAAAAAATATATAATTTATTAATTTATATAGCATTACCCTAATCGTTATTATAAAAAAATATATAAATAATTAAGAATTATGAAACACTTTTCACTTATTTCAAAACATTTTTCAAAAGATTTTACAAAAATTAAAACATTTCTTTAAAAAATATATTTTTATTTTCACAATCATAATATATTAATGAGTATTTCCTAACAATTATGAATACTTACCAAAAACATGGCAATTATGAATACTTACCAAAAACTTAAAAAGAAAATATTATTTTGCTCTAAATTATCACTAAAAAGCAAATTAACCTTTATTCTTTTAATAATATCAATTATATACCTGAATTATTTGATTTTCTTTTAATTTTACCTTACCATTAATTACGATCTATAATAAAATAAAAGTTGCCAACATGACAATCATACTTCATTTACATTTTTATTTTATCTTCAAACTATCCGTATAATATTAATTACGTCCTTGAATAAATGGAAATTTGAGAGTACCAGTGTTATAAAAAATGCTAGAGACCAAAAATTTTACTAAATATCTCACATGAATGTGGAATCCACAATCACATGAGACATTTAGTAGAAATTTTAGTAGAATTTTTGAATCTCTAACGTTACTCAATGTTATTTCATCAAACTTAATGACATTCTGTTTTTGTTTTGTTTTGGTTTTTGAGAAACTTTTTTGTTTTGTTTTGTTTTGTTTTGTTTTGGTTTTTGAGAAACCGTAGGGACCTTTTCTAATGAACCTTTTCATATTTTCATATTTTTAGTCATTTAATTTTTTAGATGGATCTAATTTTGATATATCTAAAAAATACAAAAATTAAATGATTAAAATATTAAAAAAGGAAAATAAAAATTTGTCTAAAAATAGTTTGTGAAAAATTAAACCAAACTATACAGTTGTAACGAATTAAATCTAATAAATATTGTAATATAAATATAATAGTAAAATTGAATTTTGTAACTTAGGAAGGTTTTAAAACTAATAAATTTTTACCATCTAAAAAAAACTAATAAATTTAGCCCCAATAATGAAATTACTAAATATGGAAAATTTTGATTTTTTTATTAAAACTTCGTACAAAGACCGAATCTGCTATCCATTTGAACTCATCTCGATAGGTGAGTTCCTCTCTTTCTTCTTCCTCTTCGATTCTTCTTTCTCTCTTTTTTCAGATTTATTTCTGAAGATATTCCTTGGCGAGTTTTTCTGAGATTTTTTTAAAGTTTCTTTATGCAGGGATGAGAGTCCAGGATGCAAAGAATTTGATCAAGAACAGACTTCTAGACCTTGGAGAAGCTATGATGTGCAGTGAACCTAAGAAGAGGTCATTTCAAGATTAGGGGATGAGTGCGTTGTGGCTCTGATTGATCAGTGGTACATCACTTATGGTGAATCAAATTGGAAGGAGGAGGCAGAGAAGTGCCTGACTAGTATGAATCTCTTTAGTGACGAGACTCGGCATGGTTTTGAGCATACATTGAGCTGGCTAAATCAATGCGCATGTTTGCACTATTTTGGGCTTGGGACTCATATTCATTGGGACGAGGAGTTTCTTGTGGAGCCTTTGTCTGATTTGGCATATGATTCTATTTGTCACATGTAACAGAAAAGAGATATGTATGGCTCTGATACTTCATTAGTGAAACCACAGCAGTTGACAAAGATGAGGTCTGGGATTTCTTGTTCTGCAGTGGCCCTTGTTCTGCGGTATCTTTGCAGATAACTTCGGCCTAACCGAGATTACCTCGGCGTCATGACCAGAATACGTGGCACATCGGCTGACATTTCGGTGCCACCTCGGCCACGTGTTGTCATTAAAAAATTATGTCCCCACAGTATATATGAAAGAAATTTACCGAATAACTTGTTAGTAAATCCCATTTCATCTGCATGCTTGTTCAAATTTCAAAATTTAACTTTACATAGTTTAAAAGAGTCACTACACCAAAATTGGGCTTTAGCGGCAGTTTTTTACCGTCGTTAAAGGATGTAAAACCGCCATTAAAGGCTTTAACGACGGTAATTTAGGACCGCCGTTTATACTCGTGTCGGAAAAAGTACAACCGTCGTAAAAAGGTAAATTATCGTTGTTAAAAGTCGACCAAAAATGGCAGTAATATAGGACCAAAAACGGCTGTTCTTTACCGCCGTAAATAGGTTCAAATTTTTTAAAAAATAATTCTTTCTTCTTGCACCTCCCAAGCCTCAAACCCGTGACCTTTAATCCATGCACACCAACCACTACACCACAACCACTCTATATGAAATATATTCCCTAAATAAATATTTAAACATTACTTTTGCTTTATTGTAGATGGTCATATTCAACCTCTGGCCGCGCGTGGTCACCACACGCCGGAGTTCCGCCGGAGCTCCACCGGCAAAGACCGCCGTCATTAACAGCGGTAATGAGAGGGCTTTAGCGGCGGTTTTGTTACCGCCGTTAAAAGATGGCTTTAGTGGCAGTTTTTTTGACGGTTTCATTACTGCCGTTAAAGATACTTTAGCGGCGGTTTTTTAAACGGCGGTAACGAAACCGTCGTTAAAGATACATTAACGGCGGTATTAACGGCGGTTTCGTTACCGCTGTTAATAGTATCTTTAACAACGGTAACGAAAATTGCTGTTAAAAAAATCGCCGTCAATATCCTGTTTTGGCATCACTACAAGAAAAAGCATTGTTGCCGACCACTTTTAGCTACCAAAACTAATTTAGTCGCCAAAAGTCACGAAATTGGCTACCAAAAATAATATTAGTCGGCAAAAGTCAACTTTTTAGCTACTAATTTTTTTTAGTAGGGGAATGTTGATTATTGGCTACTAAAAAAAATTTAGTAGCTAAAGATATTACAATTGGCGACTAAAACAATTTTTAGTAGCTTATCGCCGACAGGGCAAAGGCGACGACCTTGGCGACCAAATATTTTAGTCGCTATATCGTTTCAGCGACTAAATATTGGACTTTTGGCGATCAATATTTTGGTAGCTAAAAGTGGTTGGAGTCTAAATGTAAAGCAATACATTTCCTATTTCCCTCCTACCCGTAACTAAATAAATAAATAGAAATGGTTCCCTAAAACAGAAAAATATCTGAAAGAGTTCCTTTTTGAGTTGCACCAAGTTGTTTCCTTTCTTTGAGATGCACACAATCAAAGATTTTTTGGAGCCATTAATTACTCATTTAACTTTGTACAAAGGATAGTTGTGAAAAGCCACCTACAACACACCTAGCAATAATGGACATTAAAGAAAAATCTTTTACTCAACACTAGTTGATATTGTCTAAATTCCATGAACAAAATTTATATTCATTATAGTGGCTTCCCGTAAACATAGGAGTATTAGTTTTACGGGTAACCAATGCTGTCCTGATTGACTTTACAGACCCAAGTCCAGTTTCTCTTTACATACATGAATATTACAATTATGCATGTATTTATTAGTATTCTATTCTCCACAACGTGACGTAAGCATTCAGTATTATCCATTGCAAAACCCCACTCACGCTCTAGAACACCAAAGAAAAGAAAACCACCACCCAACCCCAACCCCAACCCCAACCCCATGGCAGACCCTCTCACTACCAACTCTCTGTGCCATTTGTTTCCAATAAAAATTAAAGATCAATTGAAGCTGAAAAAACAAAACCTCTGTATTGATCAGTGTCACTGATGAGTTTTATGCCATTATTATGGGTTGGGTTTGGTGGAGATTTTGTGCAAGTGATGTTGTTGTTGTAGAGTAGAGGGGATGAAATCGGAGGTAAGTGGAGAGGTGGTGGAGGTCGCAGTGGTCGGTGATGGAGGAGCTGCTGGGCTGAGAAAGGAACTTGGAAGCAGAGGGAGAGAGAGAGATAGAGATAGAGTAGCTAGCTGATTAGATTAGATGTGAAGAGATGCAAAATTTTTGAAAATTTCACAAAACAATTACTATTATGTGGCTTTTTTGATTGATTGCGTATCCATCCGTAAATAGTATTTGTTTGGGTATCTAATACGGGACGCCCAGTTTATAACTTATTATTCTCATTTTGGAACTAAAACATTTGTTGATCTTGAGATTTTATAATTCCTTACTATTTTGTCTTTAAAACTAATACTAATTCTAATACATTCATCAATTTGGCAGATACCAGAGCCTACACCATACAGAGATGGGCACCAATTATTGCATTTTTATGCCTCTCTATGATGCATTGGGCAATACCCTCAATAGCAAATCATGGGACCTGCACAAAATGTTACTTTTAAATTCAGGTATCTCCCTCTCCAAACAAAGAATACCCTAATAATTCCTTCCTGCTTAATCATATCATATCATATCATATATATTTATTGTCCTTACAAAATGCGTACTGATTTAACACGTAATTGTTCACTGTATATGAATTTGTGTGTGCCAATTCACATTAAAAACAAAAATGAAAAAAAAAAAAAAAAGTTTGATAAGAAGCGGGACCACATACTGATTACAAAAAAATTTGGTGTATCAGGTGGTTGTAGTCATTCTTGTACCTAAGGTGGGATTAATAACAATAACCTGGAAATGCTTTTTTGTACTACTGTCAAAAAAAAATGAGACACAAAATTTCACGAATGAAATGAGATGACCCCTTCTCTCTTCTGTAAAATTTTGTTTGAGAATTGTTATGATTAATTAAATAAGAAAATAAGACAAGAAAAGCTAGCACAGCATTTTTGTTTCTGGATAAATAAAATAATGGTCATCCTCCATTGTATGGGCACATTGAATGCAGGTAGGAACTGGAGGGTACCTGATTTTGTATTCTTGGCACATGTGGTGGATATATAACAGCTTCGCAAAGACCGCCGTCATTAACAGCGGTAATGAGAGGGCTTTAGCGGCAGTTTCGTTACCGCTGTTAAAAGAGGGCTTTAGCCAGTTTGTATTCCGGTCATTCGCGTCGAAGCCCTTCAGGACCAGGATCTTCTTGCTCCCAATTTGGCCACTTGCATTAACAGTGATGCTGGTGATGTGGGCTAAGTCTAAGACCTTCTCGGTCTCATTCTACAACCTCAGAGGCCGCTTGCACCACACTTGGGCTGTACCTCGCTTCGGTTTTCAGGTCTTTCTCTCTACTTTTTAATGTTTATTGTTTCTTCAACTCACACTGCTCTTGCCATTTTTTATGAATTAATCAATTAGGTTCTCAATTTGATGATTATCTTGACTTCCTTTTTCTTTTCTCTTTTTAATTTTTTTTTTTGAATATATATATATGCAGTATTTCTCGCCATTTGCTAGAGAGGGCATCAATAAGCACATAGAGGAGGCAATTCTCAGGGCCGATAGGTTTAGCCTTGCTGCATTGAATAAGGTTGCTCTCTCTCTCTCTCTCTCTCTCATACCCACCCACCCGCAAATTACTGTCTTGTCCTTTTGGGGGTACTGGGAAACACAAAACAACAAGGAATAATTTTTTTCCATTGTACCAAATAGTAAGGAAAAGTATTTTTACCCCCAAGTAACCATACCACATTTCAGCTAGTGAAATTCATGATTCCAATGTTCAATTTTCTCATGTACTTCAAATTAAACTTGCATGAGGTACCCACCTACCATATCCAACTATACATAAATTTAAACATTGCACTTGTTCAATAAGCAATCAATTTGATAAGATGTTTGTATGAAATTATCTATAATCAACTATATTAATTATGAAAAAAAATGACTAAATGTAGAATGAAGCTCCCAATGGGGGTGGAATGCTGTTTGTGAACAAGCATCCAAACCTTAAAGTTCAAGTTGTCCATGGAAACACTTTAACTGTGGCTGTAACTCTTAACCAAATCCCTGAGGATGTGGACGAGGTGTTTTTAACAAGAGCTACTTCAAAACTCGGAATAGCAATTGCCCTTTACCTTTGCAGACGGAGAGTACGAGTGTTTGTAAGTGTTAAATTTAATGTATAAAGAGAAATAGAGAATTGTATAGATATTGATTGTATTATTGATTGATGTTGAATATGTTTACAATGATGCCTATATATAGAAGAGTAGAATAGGTAGGTGTGTAGTAGGTGGAGTAGGTGGTAGTAGGTGGTAGTGGTATAGGTGTGTAGTAGGTGGAGTAGGTGGTAGTATGTGGTAGTGGTAGGTTTTAACAGCCCCCCGCAAACTCAATGAGGAGAGACACAAATCAACTTGAGTTTGGAAAGAGTAACAAAATAAGAAAATACATAAAAGAAAAGAGGATAGGAGACACTGTATGGTCGTGTCAGACCGTTGGTGAAGACACTGTATGATGGTGTCAGACCGGTGTAGGAGCTAACCGGAATCAATGTCGGAACAGTTTATGGGGTTATGTCGGACCGTTGGAAAAATTAACCGGAATCAATGTCGGGACAGTTTATGGGGTCATGTCGGACCGTTGGAAAAGCTAATCGGAATCAATGTCGGGACAGTTTATGGGGTCATGCCGGACCGCTAAAAAGTCGCACCCTCAAAAGGTGTGCCCAATCTTTCAAAAGGCGTGCCATCAAAAGGCGTGCCCAATCCATAAAAAGGTGTGCCGGACATTATGGCGATGCGCGTGACTACCTTGGCTTGCGCGCCCATGTTGTCATCTAGCGGCGAGCGGTGCACGATGCGCCTGTCTGCCTTGGCTATTTAACCAAGACGGAGGCTGAGGCTGAGGCAGAGGCTGAGACAAAAACCTGCTGAAAACCTCTGAAAAACTCTTCGTTTTCTGAGAGAGATACTCTGTAACACTCTGTTGCCCAGAAAATGGCATCTTCTTCCCGTGGTCTACTCACTCTCTTTCCAGACCTCAACGAGTCCACAAGAGAGATAACTGGTGCGGTTGCCCTTGAACCTCAACCAAGCGCCTCTGAGTTTGCTCCGTTGACCTTTCCTATGCGGTCTCATTTAATTTGATGTTACATGTAATGCTTTTGTTTAGTAAGACTCTGATGAATATTATAATGAATTATTGAAGTGTTTTCTTTAAATAATGCAAGTCATTGATATATATAATGGGTTAATTTTTAGGGCGTTACAGCAGTTAAACGCCCAACTGGCTCTGCTCCAGCGCATGTATAAGGATGCGCGAGCAGAAATATGTGTACTAAAGGCGGAAAATAAGGAGCTGAAGCGGAAGTCCACCATTATGTTCTGATTCGAAGGTCCGCCAGATGCTGCGGTGGAGGAGCAAGGGGGAGTGAACGCGCTCGGCGGCGTGAGAAACACGGAGGCAGCACCGTCAAGGGCCGCCCAGGACGGAGGTAAGAAGAAGAGACCGGCGGCAGAGTAGAGAAGGGAAAATCCTGCTTGTGGATGTGGTTGTTTTGTTTTTGTGTGTTTGTTTATGTGGTTTTTTTTTTTTTTTTTTTGTAAAATGGTGATCAGGGCGAAGTCCCGATATGAATAAAATGAGTTTATTGTGCAAATCCGAATGGCTTGAAGGTACAAGACTGAGTAGAAAAATTAGATGGAATGAATAGAAGGGTTTTTTTTTTTTTTAAAAAAAAAAAGAAAAGATAAAAGGTTGAGGTTCAAGGAAAAGTTGGGCGGTGGAAAGAAGAAAAAGAAAAAAAAAATATATATATATATATATATATAAGATAAAGAATGTTTAGGCGGTGGAAAATGTGATGATGGTGTGGAGTGGAAAATATGTGAAAAGGGAAAAGTATATATATAATAATAATAAGAATAGGGAATTGGGTGGCCCGAGGAGGTTCAATGCATTTGCTGATTGATTTATTTATTTTATTTGTTTGTGGTAGAGTGGATCACATGGGGTGAGTAGTGAGAAGAAAAACAATGTGGTTATCACCGAGGGAGTGAGAGGGGCCGCGGAGGGAGAGAAGAATCTGAGAGAGATTTCTAGCTGTTTCCAACCGAGCAAGACACGATGTTTTCACCGGAGTTTTTTTTTTTTTTTTCAGATCGGGCTCTGCGAAAGCTCTTTCTTTACTCGCTGCGACGGCTTGCAACTTCGACTGAACAGACAAAGCCTCAAAACCCTAGCCATGTCGCTGGTAGCGAATGAAGAGTTCCAGCACATTCTGCGAGTGCAGAACACGAACGTGGATGGGAAACAGAAGATCATGTTTGCAATGACATCCATCAAAGGTATCGGCCGTCGTTTCACCAACATCGTCTGCAAGAAAGCCGATGTCGACATGAACAAGAGGGCTGGTGAACTCTCAAATCAAGAAATTGGTAGAGTGGATCACATGGGTTTTGCTTCCTTGTTAGTGTTTTTTTTTTTTTTTTGTGCTTCAAACTACACTATTCCCTTCAGGTGAAAATGGCCACAGTTGAGGTTGTGTTAGCTGCATCAGCACTCTCAGAGGAGATCACTAAAGAGGAGCCAACCAAGGCTGAAGAGACAACAACCACAGAAGAGGCAGTGGCTCCACCACCACCAACAGCGGCTGAGCCACCAGCAGAAGAAGAGAAGGTAACAGAAACAGCCGCCGCACCAGAGGAACCAGGTGCTCCAGAACCCGAAGCCCTGGTCGCTGAAGTTGAGGCCAAGGAGAAGAAAGTTGTGGAAGAAGTAGCTGAGGTGGTGGCAGAGTTAAAGAAACTACAGAGTCTGTCAAGGCACCCGAGCCGGTGATTGAAGCTCCTAAAGATGAAGTTGTTGTTGAAAAGGAAGAAGAGAGACAAGAGTTCAGTTATGGAATTTGTGGCAGCGGATGGAATTTGTGTAGAGGTCCGGCGGGCGGCCAAGGCGAGACTGCCGCCCGCCGGTGAAGCAGAATGACTAGGTTGTTAACCTTGCTCTGATACCATGTTAAATTTAATGTATAAAGAGAAATAGAGAATTGTATAGATATTGATTGTATTATTGATTGATGTTGAATATGTTTACAATTATATAGAAGAGCAGAGTAGGTAGGTGTGTAGTAGGTGGAGTAGGTGGTAGTAGGTGGTAGTGGTATAGGTGTGTAGTAGATGGTAGTAGGTGGTAGTGGTAGGTTTTAACAGTAAGTATTGTCAATTTGTCATTTAATTGAATTTTATTTTTTTTTATTTTTTTTCTAAAGGGTTGAAGCATAGTGCAGATGTTAACCTTTCAATTGATAGATTTGAGAAGATACAGAAGGAAGCCCCAACTGAGTTTCGAAAATACTTAGTCCAAGTCACAAAATATCAAGCAGCCAAGAGCTGTAAAGTATATATAACATAATATACACCTGAAGTTATTCAAAACATTAACTAGCATTGATGCCGAGTTCAATTAATCAAATGTGAAATAAGCTTCGCTAATAAATTTCTTAAAATCCTATCTATTCATGTATTTACATTTATATTCAATTCTATGTGTAGTTTCTATGTTGCAAAGATATGCATTGGTATGTGTTGAATTTTGTTGTTTACCATGATAGACTTGGGTAGTTGGTAAGTGGCTAACACCAAAGAGAGCAAAGATGGGCCCCAGCTGGAACACATTTTCACCAATTTGTAGTCCCACCAATATTTGCCCTTCAGAGGAGACTGCACTTACGGTGATCTTGCAGCCATGAAGTTTCTTGATGATGTACATGGGCTTGGATATTGTGAGGTATACGTATATATACCCTCCCCCAATCTTCCTTTGTTTCATGTTTTTATCACAATAATATCATATTTTCACTTCTTTTTTTTAAAAGAAAAAAAAAATTTGTTGGGAAACAAACAAACAGTATACGATGGAGAGAGGAGTCATGAATATTATGAATATTTACCGAAAACTTAAAAAGAAAATATTATTTTGCTCTAAATTATCACTAAAAAAGTAAATTAACTTTTATTCTTTTAATAATACCAATTATATACCTGAATTATTTGCTTTTCTTTTAATTTTACCTTAGCATTAATTATGATCTATAACAAAATAAAAGTTGCCAACATGACAATCATACTTCATTTACTTTATTATTTTATCTTCAAACTATCCGTATAATATTAATTACTTCCTTGAATAAATTGAAATTTGAGAGTACCAATGTTATAAAAAATGCTAGACACCAAAAATTTTACCAAATATCTCACATGAATGTGGAATCTACAATCACATGAGACATTTAGTAGAATTTTTAGTAGAATTTTTTAAATCTCTAACGTTACTCAATGTTATTTCATCAAACTTAATGATATTCTTTTTTGTTTTGTTTTGTTTTGTTTGTTTGTTTGTTTTATTTTTATTTTTATTTTTATTTTTTTTTGGTTTTTGAGAAACCATATGGACCTTTTCTAATGAACCTTTTCAAATTTTCATATTTTTAGTCATTTAATTTTTTAGATGGATATAATTTTGATATATCTAAAAAGTACAAAAATTAAATGATTAAAATATTAAAAAAGGAAAATAAAAATCTGTCTAAAAATAGTTTGTGAAAAATTAAACCAAACTATACAGTTGTAACGAATTAAATCTAATAAATATTGTAATATAAATATAATTGTAAAATTGAATTTTTGTAACTTAGGAAGGTTTTAAAAACTAATAAATTTTTACCATCTAAAAAAAAACTAATAAATTTAGCCCCAATAATGAAATTACTAAATATGGAAATTTTTGATTTTTTTATTAAAACTTCGTACAAAGATCGAATCTACTATCTTTCTGAACTCATCTTGATAGGTGAGTGTAGACGTCCCCGAACGTCCCGGGAGGGAATCCCCCCCCCCTCGTTTTGTTAAAGAAAGCATTATTTGATCATGAAGTCTAAAGACAGAATCCCCCCCGTTTTGTTCATTGGGCTCACTACAGTTCAGGACTCAATGTCACGGTCCTGTATCTAATCTCGCAGAGTGCAATGCAAGACCGATGAAATCATCAAAGAGTCCAAATCCGGCAAATCGTTTTTGAAAACAGATTTTTTTGAACGAAGTACCAAATATGGACTGCTTTGCCAAATACAGAGTCGCCACCTAAATATTTTATTTTGAAAAATTTAGGAAACCCTGACTTGTTGCCTAAGGCCATGTGTTCGTCATCACCAAAGTTGCCTCGGCTCGGGAACTTGTGTACGATTGGGGAAGATCACTTCGTGAGCACCCCCACTCGCCTGATCAAAGATCAGCCTCTACTAACCATGATATCTAGTTTTGAAAACATTATGCGTTCTTATTCCGGTTATTAGCTTAGATTTACTATGTGATGCGCACAGCATACAAATATAGACTGGATCGCCTGAATTAGAACAAAACATTTCATGTTTGTTTATTTGAAAATGGTTTGATGGTGCTACCCGCAAGTAGGCTAAAATGTGGGTTTGCCACCCTCAGGTGGGCTTAGAAAACAAGATGATTTGCCACTATCTAGTGGGCTTAAAACTCACAATTGATGAATTGTTCCAATCCAAATAACCCAACTTCCACCCACAGGCATTCAGGCAGTTATTTCACATAAGCAATTAGCCTCATGGTAAGCATGCTATCATGGCAGTCACTCACACGCATGCAATGATGCTAAAGCATAAAAGCTTACCTAGTACTCCAAGCCAAAACAAAAGCTATGTTAGAAATCCATGCATGATTCTAACTATACAGAAATGCCTAATGCAACACAGGCAAAATGCAACTACAGTAGGCTCGGCTATTCTGAACATGGCATATAATGATGCTACAGCTAACACGTATTCAATTTGGAATTGAAATACAAATGCAGTTAGTATGATGCGCCGAGCCCGGTGCATGCAAGACAGATGAATGAATGCAAACATGCTATCATACTGTATGCTAATTGAAACATGCCCTATTCTAACCATCATAAGCTGGTAAATAAAAGGGAGAAAGACGTGGGGTTGGAAGACATACATCACACACACGCACACTTATTACAATTGTACTCTCGCTCGGAGGGTCCGAATAAATAATATACAGTCCGAAATGAATAATTAAATATTACAAAACCCTAATTAATTAACAAATTAACTAGGAAAGCGAGTAAATTAGCATGCAAGCCTATGGACTGTCTCAGCTCTGTTCCAAATGATGGGAGATGCATGCTTGAGTTGCCCGGCGCGGAAATCCATTGTGATATCCCGATTCGCCTCAGTTTGCAATTAATGCTGGAATGTTGTGCAAGGCTTTAGAAAGCTGCTGATTTCTGATTTGTTGCAACAGAGAGCAAGAAAGGGGCATGGCAAAGTATTTTCACATATGTATGCATGACTACTCTTCAGGGAGTGTAGTCTTCGATCCTCGTGCCACCAATCACGCATATCGATGCATGATGGCCGAGGAGTCGAATTGCACGACTCAATATGAAATGAATGCACATGAAAACACAACAAGACCTAAACTCTATCATGGGTAATCCGGAGTGTCGGCAACGGGAAATTGAGACACGTTCCGTCACTCAAAGTACAAAACGTCCCTCGTTTCCCGTGCTTGGGCTAACTCCTATCCCAAACACAATGCAAATTAAATGGCATACACAATGCAACTAACATACACCCTTGCATACGTAATGCTATGAAATGGCATACACAATGCTCGATGTAACACGGCATACACAAAGCTCTAACGCGCAGCCTAGCATACACAATGTTATGAATTGAAAAGGTATAAACAATGCATGATGGACTTACACCAACATGAGTGGACCTCAGCCACACTCACATCAGTAGCCATTAGATGAAAATGAGACAACCGAAATGCGTCCACACATGCACGCAAACCGAGGACCGAACCTAAGGCATAAAATATCACTCTACCAAAGCATGGCAAGGTATGAAAGATGACATACAAACATGCAATTTCCAGCACTGAAACATGATAAACAATGGTCCCGAATCATGCAAACATGGCACACTATGCAAGAAATAAGCCCCAAAACTCAAAACTAGTCCAATGCATTGAACCACAAGTATACAAAGCAAGCATTATTTGATCATGAAGTCAAAAGACAGAGCAAAGGCAGTCCCAAAATATGCACATTTCTAGTTTAGAGCATGGCCAAAAAGCGCTAACATGATGGACTATAATAGCATGCAAATTCAGCTAGCAAGCATAGTTTACATGGCATGTATATGAAGAAAATGAGAACTCATCAAACCAGCCAAAAACAGTGAATAAAACATGCCAAAATATGCCCAAATAATCACTGAAATGCAGCCAATACATGCAAAAATGAAGGGCTTCTTTGGAAGGTCATTCAAGGGGTTGTTAAGCACCTATAAGATAGACACTTAGCATGACCAAACAAACTCTGGAAATCAAATATGGCAAGCCTAAAACTCACAAAATTGGCCCTGAAATCAGTCAAGGAAGCATACGATGAAAGGCCCCCTCAAAAGGCCTTGAATGGGATTGCTCAACACATGCGTTGTAGGCATAAAATATGATTAAAAGGGCCCCGGACAGACCTAAGGAAGACCCTAAAATCCACAAAATTGGTCCCAAAAAGTGGCGTCAATGCATGCAAAATAGAGCCACTTTGGAAGGCCCAAAAGACCCCTAAACAAGACAAGGAGAGAGGGGGTCACCCCCCTC